CAAATTTATTAGACTAAAGACTTTCAGGGAGTTGTTTCAACAGTACTTATGCTGAATGACAGCTTGGGGAAGTGGTGCTACTGATTCTTCTTGGGCTTTTGGTTTTGTTCCATTCAGTGGTATCCCACAGAGGTGTGCTGTACGAGTTTATTGCAGTGGGTCCTTCAGAAGCAGCAGTGAGGTCAGGTTTTTGCTGCCGTGAAGATTTGCACATTGTCTGAATTTAAATAGAGATAAGGGGATTTGTGGTTTCAAATTAGAAAAATTCTAGAAAGATCTTGTTGTCCCTTTGCATGAATTTCCCCGAGGTTCTACATGCAAGAAAACTCTTGTGTTCCTGGTAAATTCCAAAAACATAACCAATTAGTGTTTGATTTGGTATGACTTGGTATTTTTGTGCCAATAAAGGTCGTTTCACTTAGGATCAGAGGGAAAATGGCTCTTCCATCATCAGCATTGCTGCCAGCTCTGGGGAGGCTACTATCCATATTGCGGTAGTTTTGATGAAGAGTGGACTCTGTCCCGTTGCTAGATTGCGCCTGTAGGGATAGCCCAGGGTCTAGGTGATTGATTTACCATCAGGAAGGCAGGTGGAGATCCTTGCATTTGATCTGAATTGAGTAGGAACAGTGACAGGTATGTCAGTGCCCCTTTGACTGTAATAATATGGTTCATATTCTGGGTAAAAGCTGGTAAAGCTTTTAAAGTTAAACCAGGTAGAAGCAGCCTTTGCCAGGAGCTGAGCTGAAGCGTATTGGTAGGGAGCTGATGGCACCGTGGGGGCTTTTGCATCTTTTTAATCCCTGTTGTCCCTTTCCCTCTCTGCAGGGTGCACACTGTGTGACAAGGCATATCCATCAGACTGCCCGGATCATGGGCCCGTCACTTTTGTCCCTGACACCCCGATAGAGAGCCGAGCCAGGCTTTCCCTCCCTAAGCAGCTTGTCCTCCGGCAGTCTATCATGGGAGCTGAAGTGGGTAAGAATCGGGTTACTATATATTTTTATGCAGAGGTTTAAAATCCAGAACTGTGGGGATTTTAATGTGGGAAAGAAACACAGCAAGATAGAGGTGGTTCCCTCTTCTGTACTCACGCTGTCTTACATTGTGCAAGTGCTTCTTGTCCTCTGGTTACTGCTTAGACTTCATCCAGACTCTAGGGCTGCTGCCACAGAGCATTGCTGAAACACTTCATAAGGTCAAGCACAAGCAAGGTATGGTGTTTATTTTCATCATGTGCTAAACAGCCCATGCACAGCTTTGATAAGAAAACAATGCAGCAATTGTAGTTTGTGGGAAGATAACAATTAGAAATAACAGAGGAGATTTCTGTCTGGTTGTTCATCAGCTTGGTTTGCTACCTGTGGGTCTTCTGGATGCTCTCATTAGAGTATTGATCACAAGTGCCTCTTTTTTTTTTTTCCCCCCTCATTTACATTTGGCTTGTAGACTGTGACCTTGTGATTGGATCTGGACCTTGTTACTGTATTTCACGCCATTGTCACCTGGAAATTGAAGAGTACAGTGCAATACCCTAAGGATCTGAAGGCTAGAGAAGAATGTGATTATTGGCTTGCTTAGTGATGCTGCTTGTTGAGAGTAGATGACATCTGTTCTTTTCAAGCTGCACTAGTTTCCAGTTTATTCCTAAAAGCTATTCAGTGTATTCATGTAGACCTATATATATACTTATATATATATATATATATGAATGTTTAATAATAAATAATATACACGCAGGAATCCCTCTGCCCATGACAGAAATACAGCTGCCTCTGGGGAGAAATGCAGAAGCTGCTTAACAATGCCCAGCAACAATTCTGGAAATTCCTGGGGATTAGGTAGGCAAAATGTAGTTACTGAAACTAGTATTTTCTGCTTCTGCAGAAAGTGCCTTGAAAACTTTTAATTGGTACAAGTGGCTAGGATCTTAGTTTTGTAGCTTACTGAAAAGTAAATTACTTGCTCTTGACAAACAAAATAAATATTTGTAATTACAACAAAGCAGCTCCCAATAGTGTCATGTGGTGGTGGTGGTTCTTGTCTCGGCCTTAGGTGTGTTTTACATGTGAAGTAGAAGCTTTGATGATCTTTTGCCTAGATATTACCCCTGGAGCATTATCTCATAAACCTCCCACCTCTTCGTTATGCATGATTAGTTGTTTAAATAATTGATTTCTGCAGATTTTGGTCTTCTACTGATAGGTGTGTGGACACGAGAAACCATTCCTGTAAGGACTTGTTTTGGACCTTTGATTGGGCAGCAGAGCCATTCTTTGGAGGTGGCCGACTGGACAGACAAAGCAGCTAGTCACATCTGGAAGGTCAGTGGATGTTATGGCTCACAGAATCTGCAGGCATGCCTCGATCTGGTGAAAGCCACCCCATGACACAGCAGCTTTAACATCATCATCCTTGCCAAAAATAAGAATTTATTCAGTTTGATTGTTTAATATCTTAATATAAATAGTTAATATAGCAGAGCTGTATACCATGTAATATGGTATTCAGTCCTGGAGTACAACAGACTTCTTTTAAAGGGCTGTATATGGTTTCCAGTATTTGTGTGGAGTTGCAGCAAAGATTGTATATGAATTTCTAGGAAGCACTTGTTTGTTTGTTTTGTGTCTTTGTTTATTGAAAGCTCCCCCAGGTGGTTAATGATTTGTTGTAGGAAAGCTGCTTTTCATTTCATGCTGAGAAAGTAAAATTGATCTATATAAATAAAACATGTACTGTTTGCCCAGATATTATTATTCACGAGACTTGGGTTGTAAGAAGAGCAGCCAAATGCATTTCTGCTGCGAGCTGAAGGTGATGTGTGGGAAAGATATTGATGATAAACAGTTTTTCTAGCCTCCTGGGTAGCAAAGAGGTTAAGATTCCTGTATGAAGGGAAAAGTGAGGAGTAAGGACAGGACTGTGGCTTTGGCAACAGCACTGGAGACCCTCCTGGGGTAAACAGTTCTAGGTAAACACATCCTCTCTTAAAGAAAGAAGCTGACATTCACTCCATTTGTTGCTGTGTTTTGTCCTAAGATTGCATTTGTTTTTCCTGGTAGATCTATCACAATGGTGTCCTGGAGTTCTGCATTGTTACAACTGATGAAAACGAATGTAACTGGATGATGTTTGTACGCAAAGCCAGGTGAGAACCACCTGTACTGTGGTAGGTAGCTTGGAGCCTGAGCTGCAGGCTCATAGGAGGCTGTGCTGGAAAACATGTGCTGCTGCACTGATTACAGCAGATGGGTAATGAGCTCAGGACCAGGGGACCTTCAGGAGTTACCTGGGCATCTTGGACTGGTGGAGAGAATGAAACAGAGCACCCAGTGGAGAATGCTGTGAGGGAACCAGCACGTATGCTGCAGTAAAACAGCCTCGAGCCTGCCTGCATACTTTGTTTCTCGTGTTCTAAAGCTTTAAACCAGGTTCTTTTTTTATTAGCTTACTGTGTATTAGTTTGTTATTGCCTTCCCTCTGTCCCCTTCCTTTTGGATACATCTGTGGAGATTATGTTGATTGTCTTTTTGATTTTAATACTTTATTAGTAAAGTGTCCCTGGGTTCTTTTGGCCAAGTTCTAAGCTCTTACAGCTCACAAGAGCTGTCCTTTTCAGTCGTTCTGGAGCCTGCGATGAAAACTCTCCAGACTAACTTCAATACTGAGTATTGCTCCATACGTGGTCCACTGAGAAGGCTGAACCACTCCTGTTGCTTTGTGACACAAAGTAGGTTTCCCCTGCAATTGATGTCATTGCTCCTATACACAGGAGTCAAGAAGTTAATGCTTGATCTCCCAGTGCAGTGGGGCAGAGCTTTTTCTGGTTTCAGATACTAGGAACAAGCATATGCGAGATACAGCTTCAGAAGGTGAATTATCACATCTTGGAAATGCTTTTCCAGAGTTATTTTTGAAGATAATTTTGCTTTAAGACTTTACTGATATTTATTTCTCCGTTGTGTTCTCCATTTCTTAAGGGGGTTAATATGAGAAATATATATATTTTTACAGTTTCTTAAGAGATCACAAACTCTCTTCTCTCAGCCCACTCCAATGTCTATTGAGATATCACAGTGTTCTGAAAAATGTGTAATTTGATGGAAGAGATTGGCTCTTGAGGTCCAGTTTTCCTTTCCTTTAATAAAGGACAGAAGTGACAGACATGAAAGTTTTTATAAGCATTGAGGTTCTCTCATTACCTATTTATAGGAATTTCCTTCTTTTTTTTTTCTCTCTCTCAAAAAGTCATTATTTCTGGAGGGCTTTTTTTTCCATAACTCTTGTTATTGCTGTAGGAACCGGGAAGAGCAGAACCTGGTCGCTTATCCTCACGATGGAAAAATTTACTTTTGCACCTCTCGGGACATCCCACCTGAACACGAGCTTCTCTTTTATTACAGTCGGGACTACGCACGACAGCTTGGTGAGTAAGAGCTCATCTTTGTTGGCTTTGCAGGGAGTGCTCAGCTTGAATTCCCTTTTACTGCCACCTCTGAGCCCTGTAACTTGGGAGTGCATTTATGTTCCTTCTCAGTTCCTAGTGGTGCATGTCACAGTTTCCTTTTACGTTTTGTGTCTACAGGAGTACCATCCTTTAAGGGAAACATTTGACTATCTAATTCCACTGATCAGGCATAAAAGATTGTCATTTCAAAGAAAAAGGGTTGGTTTTCTTCTCTTCATCCATCTGGTGCTAAGGGAGTTCTGCTATCTGAAGATATTCCTACCCTCCCTCACCTTTGGTTGTGATAATTTAGGTTTGGTGGAGATGTGCTCAAAACCATTCCAAAGTTTGGCTCCCCAAAACATTTGAAATGGCCTACCTAAAAGAGCCGAGAAGTAAGCACCAGAGCTGAAAGGAGCTGGGGTGAAGATTACACACGCTCTGTTAGGCCTTGCTGTGCCTCATTAAAAGCCATGCTTTTGTGCCCAAAGGTGTCCCCGAGCATCCGGATGTGCACATCTGCCACTGTGGGAAGGAATGCGCTTCCTATGCGGACTTCAAGGCCCATCTGAGCAGCCATATCCACAGCCACCTCCCCAGCCAGGGGCACAGCAGCAGCCACGGGCCAGGCCACAGCAAGGAAAGGAAGTGGAAATGCTCCATGTGCCCCCAGGCTTTCATCTCCCCTTCCAAGCTCCACGTCCACTTCATGGGGCATATGGGCATGAAGCCGCACAAGTGTGATTTCTGTAGCAAAGCTTTCAGTGATCCTAGCAACTTACGGACGCACCTCAAGATACACACAGGTGAGGGTTGGGGACTTTATAGAGATGCCTGTGCTAGTAAAACATGGGGGCAGGACCTGTTCTGTCTGGTCCCTTGGCCAGTTGGCAGGGCATAGCTTGTGTCCATAAATCTAAGCTCTTAGAAACGTAGAATCCTAGAATGTTTTGGGTTGGAAGGGGCCTTTAAAAATCATCTTGTCCAACCCCCATGCTGTGAGCAGGGACACCTTTCACTAGATCAGGTCACTCCCAACCTGATCCCATCCAACTCCTGGCCTCATTCAACCTGACCTTGAACACTTCTAATGGTGGGGCATCCACAACTTCTCTGGCCAACTTGTTCCAGTGTCTCACCACCCTCATTATAAAAAAAATTCTACTTTATGTCCAGTCTAAATCTATCCTCTTCCAGTTTAAAACCGTTGCCCCTTGTCCTGTCACTACAGGCCTTGTTAAAAAGTCTCAGAATGGCAGCATCCTGACTGGCTAGAGGAATTATGTGTAGTCCGTGCTGACCCCAGCTAGTGCCTGGGCGCTGCCTGAGAGCGCTGGGACGGTGCTGGGTTCAGCTGTTCAGCAGTCTGGGTGCTTGTAGAACAGTATGTAGACCTGTGCTCTGGCTGATTGTGCCATGACTAAAAGAGCATTTGATGAGCTGATGTGGTGGACTCGGCAGTGTTATATTAACAGCCGGACCCTCCGATCTTAAAGGTCTTTTCCAAGCAAAATGATTCTATGATTTTAAGGGGAATAAAATTAGGGGTTCAGTGCACTTGAGCTAAGGATAGGAAGCTGTTGGCGCAGTAGTGAGGAGTTTTAATAAGCTGACCAAGTTCAAATGGGGTATACACAACCACAGAATTGGGTCTCAACCCTGTGTCCCAACCACAGGGATTGGGACTCGATGGGATTGGGATTCACACGGTGTTCAAACTTAGTCTGAATTCAGTGGTGTGCAGGGGTTTTGAACTATTTGTGGTAATGAAAAATGGAAGAACTGCAGATAGGGAGAAAATGGGATAAAACACAGAATTTACCAGAGAGCCAGTGAGCTTTGTACCTGTGTGTTTGTTAGATAAGAGAACTTGTTTTTCTAGACAAAGGCAATGCAGCGCATCAAATGTGCTTGGGCCCCAGTAAGGCATCAGATCCAGTTCCTGTGGGGAATTAGTGGGGATGGGGATGTACTCATGCACAGTAACTAGCTGGCTACCATAGCTACTTTTAAAAAGGAGACTAATGTCTTTTTTACTGAAGAATTCATCTTGGATAAGCCTCATCTTGTTAAATGCTTGCCTGAATCCCTTTCCTGGAAAATTTACAAGTCTACTGGTGATGTTTCGATACGCAGAACAGGGAGGCATGGTTGGTGTAGAGAAGAAGCAGAAAGTCTGTCTTACAGGAAGAGCTGACCACAAGCACTGGAGGAAGAGGAATCAGTGGTGTTCAGGAGGACAAACTGTGTAACCATGCACCACATGAAGGGCTCAGTGGTTTGATACAGTAGCGTGAAGTGGGTTTTTTTGACTTGGGGGGGATGGGGTGGGGTATGGAAAGCTTTGGGAATGATGAAATGAAGTCAGATGCCTGTTTTTTGCATAGCTAAATCTAGACTGTATCTAGGCAGGCTTTTATGCCGGGTCTGAAGGAACTGCAGGAGGAAACAGATCCTGCTCACAAAGAATCTGCCTTTCTTCAGGGTAAAAATTTATTTTTCAGAAGTGGTCAGGCTTGCTTCTTACTGTATTTCTTGGGACACTGACTGTCAGTCAATTTGTGGGTATATGTATGTAATCCTAGGTCAGAAGAATTATCGCTGTACCCTCTGCGACAAGTCGTTCACCCAGAAGGCTCACCTGGAATCGCACATGGTCATCCACACAGGGGAGAAGAATCTGAAGTGCGATTACTGTGAAAAGCTGTTCATGCGGAGGCAGGACCTCAAGCAGCACGTACTCACTCACACACAGTAAGTGATCTCACAGGATGTGTTGGACAGGATATGTTCAGTGCAATAAATAACCAAGTTGAACAGCCCAAGAAAAAATCTCCAGTTCTAAATAGTCTGGCCTAGGGACTATAGGTTCATCCTCTAAAATGACAGAGAAGTCTGTCTGGACAAATTTCCTTGCTACTGGCTAAAACTGTCCGATTCTAAAACTGTCCAATGACATGGTAAATTCCAGGCATGCACCTTGTCTTGTGAAATGGTATTCTGGAATATTTGTCATTTTGAAGAGCGGGAGTTAGTTGATTTCCATTTCATTCTCTGCTGAGAACTGTTTCCACCTCCCAACATGACCATGAAAAATCATAAACTCCTCAATGTTATTCTCACCAAGTAGGTTGTTAGTGAAGTCTCCCATCTCTTTTTGCACTGGGGGTAGGGTGCAGCTCACCCCACCTCTTACCTCTCCCAAGGTCTCATTCATGCACTTTTGTCTCCTGCTCCTCCTGCAGGGAGATGCCCATGGTCAGGGCAGATCCCTCCTCGCCCCAGGTGCAACTCCAGTTAGATACAGGTCTCTCCCAGCTCTCTGACTGGCCAGATCTTTCCTTTGGCTGTGAGAATCTCTCCAGCCTGTTTAGTTACTCCCAGTCCAAGGTTCTCCCTTAAAGGCTGCTTGCCCAAAGCTAGTCCCTCTGCTTATTTTGTTTTCAGCATCTGGTTCCTGTGCTCACTGGGAATCGATGGCTGCTTCTGTCATGCTTGCCAAGGCGACAGCATAGTGCAGCTTGCCTGAGCAAGGGAGAGGCAGGCAGACTTGCTTGGCTGCTGCTTCTTATGGCCAGAGCCAGCACTGCTCCTGGAAGGTGTTCTGCACAGTCATCAACAGAATGGGACTGTTGCAGTCTGGTAAGCCTCTGCTTACCATTTACAGACTGAGGGTTGGTTGTTAGCAGCTTTGTTTTCTTTTTTTTGTTGTGGGTTTGGTTGGTTTTGGGTTTTTTTTCTAGGGAAGCAGGTATGGCATTTTTTCCACCATGGCAACATCTCTGCCCTTCCCAAAACATGGAGCTTAACCACAATTTGGTCTTACTCAAGAAATAAACAAACAAACAAAAGCCTTGTAGAATTATTTAATTTATCAGGAAAGAAAAAGAGTTGGTTGCAAGCTAGCAGTTAATCCAAAAAGCCTGACTTTTGCCAATGATGGGGGGGAGAGGGGGAAGCAGAGAAGAGGAGCTTTGTGTACATACTCTGTGAGAGAAAACTGAGCAGTATTTACTTTTAAGTGCTGTTATTTCTGGTCTGCTCTTTCTTCAAGTAAATTGAAAGTAAAATTCAGGAGTAAGACTGACCCTTCCCGTCACCACCACCCCACTGTTTGATACAGATTCAGCTGCCTTGCAGCAGGAGCAAACTAACTTTCTCCTATCTTGCAGAGAACGGCAGATCAAGTGCCCCAAGTGTGACAAGCTGTTTCTGAGGACAAATCACCTGAAGAAGCATCTCAATTCACATGAAGGAAAGAGGGACTATGTCTGTGAAAAATGCTCCAAGGCTTATCTAACCAAATATCACCTCACTCGCCACTTAAAAATATGTAAAGGCCCCACATCCAGCCTGTCAGCCCCAGAGGAGGAAGAGGAGGATGATTCAGAGGAAGAATTAATAGACTCTGTGAGGACTGAAGACTGCAGGATTAACAATGGAGTCTATTCAACAGGTGATGCCCTCTCTGGACAAAAATGAAGAAAAGAGAGGGAAATTTTCTTGGATATTGTAACTATGGAAGGAAAAAAAAACCCAAACCACCTCTTCCTTGTTTCTACGATCAACGGTGTCTGGCAAATGAAGAGTTTTCCTTCTGTTTTGGTCTGCACGCTACCACCGCTTACTAAACTCTGTAGCCAAAACACTGAATGAGAATGGATCATGCATGTACAAGTGAAGAATTGCGAAGAAGGAAATGCAAGGCAAGGAGACTTTTTCACACACACTGTGCATACTTTTTTTCCAGATCACTCAGATTAATCCATCCAGTGCCAGGATGCACGACACACCTTGCATAGCCCTTTGCGTGAAGAGCCACAAACCAGAGATACAGTTGAGTGAATGCAGGGACCTGTAAGCTAACTGTCCTTCGCTGTCAAAAGCCATGACACTAAGAAAAACAAACAAGATATGGTGGGGGCAGTTGATGTATTTTGCTTTTTAATGCTGTTTAACTGAAGGATGTGATTTGGCACAAAGCAAAGACTTGGCAATGTTCAGGTTTCCTTCTTTTTTTTTTTTTTTTTTTTTTTAAAAAAAAAAAAAAAAAAAGCTTTGGTTTAAATTAAAGAAGACAGTGAAATTGGCATTTGCAGACAATGCAATTATCCCAGTACAGAAATGAAACATTGGCTTTTGGAAAACAGTTATTGCCTCTTTTCACTGTAGTTCACTAGAACAGGTAAGCAGGTGAAGAGGTAAAGACTGCATAGATTCAGTAAGGAAGAAGCTTATAGATGATCAGACAATGTTTACAGTATATATTCTTGTGCTGTAAACATTTTACCACCTAGAATCATGGGAGGGTTTGCTGCTAATACTATTTATGGAATGAAGATGTATTTCATTCACTTGTTTTCTTTTGAAAAAATTAAAAACGTGGCTCTTTTCTAATGTTCTTTTTTAATATTTACACATTCTAGGAAAAAGAAGTTCCTATTTCGGATAATGATGCCAAGAGAAATAACACCACTCTTGGCCTCTGCCTCTCCCAAGCTTTCCTGGGACAAGGTATGGGCAGGAGCACCTCCATGCACAGGCGCAGCTATGAACCAGTCTTTAACCCTTGTAGGTTTGCTGTGTGGCTCCTCTGGCTGTGCTGCAAAAGAACAGTGAGCTGAGCTCTGTTCTCCCACAAGGTGGCTGGAGGTTCCCTTGTGAAAGAGGCTCCAGTGCTTGCCCTAAATGGCCTAAGTTCATCTCTACCTCTTCCTGTATGCTGTACTTCCTAGAGAGCTCCCCAAGTTCTTCAATCCTGAAAAGGCATAATGCTTGTCCGCTGAGATCAGGATGTGAATAAAAAGCTCCAGAAGGACAGGCTGGGGGATTTTGTTTAGTCAAGGGTAAGATGCATGGCTAGCAGTAACACAAATTTCTTCCCCAGACAAACACCAACTTCTATAGCTACAATGCCAGTTAATACCAGAGGTAAAGATAACAAACAGAAATTACTGCCCTCAAAGAGCTTAACATGAAGTATATGATTCAAATTAAAGCTTTGAAAAACTTACAGCTTCTCAGGGGAGAGCACTTGAACAGAGGTGGTTCTGGTGCTTTCACTTTCTTAAGCTTCACAAAAGCAGTTGTTCATTTGTTGTCCACATGTTGTTCACTATTGCTTGGCAGAGAAAGGATTAAGGCAGGGATCCCAACACATCCAACATATTCTTGGTTCCTGCAGAGCCATGCTAAACACCTGTCACCAGACTAGAAACAGCTAAATTGGATTTAGAAGCCACCACTTAACTTCAGGGGATAGGAAGGAAACCTACAGCCCCATCTGCAGTTTGTACTGATAGAGTTTGTCATCTGCTTTACCTCACCAGAATGAGTTAGAATGAGCTACAGTGGGAAGCAGAGGTAAGATCTTGTCAACTACAGGCACTGGCCCTTTGGCTGTTTTGATACCAGTTGCTTTAATACCCAGGGCATTTTTGCAGCAGCAGCACTTTAATAGACACCTTCCAGTACATGGAGAGGGGAAGCATAGAAGGATAAAGACTATAATTTAACTTCTGGTCTGGAGTAAGGCACTTATTTAAAGGGTTTCCTTACATTTAAAGGGTTCACTTTAAATGTGAGGAAATCATCACATTCCTTGACTAGGGTTCCTGACTTAAATGAAGCATTTAAGTCAGTGGTTAGGCTGACACTCAAAGTGTTCCTATCTGCCTTCAGGATTTAGGCAGAAATGCGTGGGAGGAGTTAAGAACATGAGTAGATAAAATGGACAGCTTTCACAAGTGACAATGACCAGCTGAGATCCCTACCCTCGCTTTGTGTCTGAGAGCCTCTCATCATCTTCTGAGCAGCAGCTCCTTATTTCAGTTCAAATTGTTTTTTTTATATATTACATTTGGAGCTTGAAGAAAAATCCAATACACATGCAACATCACTAAGGTTCAAGTGCTGTGGAACCAGGGATTGTGATAGAGCTGGGATATTTGTGGTTTGATACTGGTGATCTGAGGTGTTACAAATACAGGTCAAGATTTGTCTCAGAGACTCCCAACTTACTGCCCAAGAAATACTCTTAAGACTTAAAAAAGTTACATAGAAGAACTTTTAAAATCTGTATTAGAAATCTGTAAATCTAGCCTCAAGTTAAGGATAAATTATATATTTACACTTGCCCTTTCACTCAGCTTTTGTTTATTTATTACACAACTGCTGTCTGAAGTATTTTTCCTTATACCCTTAGAAGATATTTACCTTCTTTGCAGTACTCAACAAACTTCTGGTAGCAGCAGAATGCTTTTCTAGTGACTTTCATTTTATAGATCAACTTTCCACATAGTAGCCCCTGTTTCAGGGATCGTAATCTCAGGCAAAAGCAAGTGCTTTGATCTTTCAAAGCCAGTAGTAAGAGGCAGGAACTTAGAACTGTTGAGTTAGAGCTTAACCATGTCACCATGTTTCTTTGTCTGAGATGAAGCAGCCTGCAGACTGCAAGACAGTCAAGTAATTTCTGAACTCTCAGCAAACGGGTATTTGCAGAATGCACATTAGTCGGAGTCCCATTAATTACTTTGATTTTGTGATCTTGGGTCCATCATGATTCCATCGCTGTCTCTGAATCGTTGCTGCTACCGCCAGCCATGGAGTTGCAAGCCACAGAGCTGGCACTAGCCAGAACATGTCTCTCTCTGTTGCCAAAAACTTCATTCACTGCAACACAGAGAGGGGATTGCTGACATGTTATTACAGAGCCAAGAGCAGTACCGCAGGCACAGCACGGTGAGCATCGCGGAACGGAAATCCTAACCTCCAGCAGTTTTAAAGCTTTCCCCCTCACCCCAAGTACGGAGTCGAAGCTTACGTGTCAGAACCATCTCCTGCATATGATACTTAAATTACAAGTCCTGTTATTTCTCCCTCAGAGCATCTCTAGAGGTTTCCCTGTGCATAATTCCTGTACCTAAGTATTGGGAAATGGATGAGTTTTATCGAGCAAAACACTAAGTTCAAATAATTTCTTTCTGGTTTTAGTCTCTCTGGTTTCCAGCAAGCTTTTAAAAGCCTTCTCCAAAAACTCACGCCATTTAGTTAGACGTAGTTACCACAACCAGTCAAAACCATCCTCGCTTTTATTCCTACAGGTACTCAAGAATGTGATGCTTGATTACACCAGGAACATTAAGAAGAAAGTAAAACACGGGCATCGTAAGAAATTCGGTATTATACTTCAGCTACAAGAAAATACATCATGTGGCAAACACAGTTCTCCAAGTTAGGAAAAAACCCCACATTTTTTGAAGCTGGAAACATGAACACATTTGTGGCCTTGGGGTATTTAAAAATATTAACCTACAGTTTATCTCAGGGCCACGATACGTTACTGAGTATATAAACACACCCTGGGGCCAAGGGGAGAACCGCAAGATTCAAAGAAATGAGAATGTTACCTGCAGAAATCTTGCTTATATCCCAAACACGCAGCCCTTCTCGCTGTCCTCCAAAGGCAAAAACAAACGGGAAGTCAGGGCAGCAAGCTGCACAGAAGAGAGCACCCTGGGAGGGAGGCAGAAAGAGGAGGATTTGATTAAAAAAAAAATACCATCTTGAAATGAAATTGTCATCTGAAAATACTTTCACCGAGCAAGTTTTAACAAATGTAAGCTCTCTAAGTTTCCTGAAACCTATTTTGTAAGAACACAGAATTAAAGAGCTGCTAAATAGAAACAGTAGATCACATCTTTGTCTTGAACCTGGCAGATACACGTTGGAGTACCTACAGTTCTACTCAGAACACTGTATCTGGTATTCAGGTCTGAGGCTTTGAAGCAGTCTGAGAATTACACCTTGCATTGAATACTGCACATAATAAGCATGATTTACCCAGAATACATAGATGTGATTTTTTTTCCCTAAAAGATGTTATGTAAAAACAAGACTGAAGTTAGACAAAAAAGATTAGGCAGACATAGTTTATATATAAACCTTCTTGGAGTCAATAAATGAACAGTACTCTACCATTTTCATATTCCTGGAATGGATTAAACTTGGTTTGTCTCCCAGAATATCCCAGATTTTCACGTATTTGTCAGCAGATGATGTCACAAGGCACCCTTTGATCTGACTGCTTAGTTGTAGCCCTGGAAGATTAAGAGTGCAGCAGTGTGAGAGCACCAGGTAACCACTGTTTCAAAGAGATGAGGACACATTCTGAAGTGAAGTCATGAGAACAAACCTAATACTCTCCTCACACTAAACTCTGTTCCAGCACAAAGGACCAAAACGTTAATTTGAGTTCCATGCTGCCACTGCTCCCTGTAGTGACAGCAAAGTGACTTCACATAGGCCTATTCTGTCTCTCAATCCAACAACAGTAACTGTGCAAAGACACTATTGTTCTACTTCTTACTTCACGTGACCTATCTTCCCCAAGCAGTCTTCTTCATTAACTTGCCAAAGACCATCTCTTTTGCTCTCCAAGACGACAGTGCATATTCATACGATCTCATTTTAGACACCTAATCGCGTGCTTCAAGTCACTATTTAGAAGCTCCTACACTGCTCAAATACTTAAAGTAGCCTAGAGGAGACAGTGTGAAAACCTTCCCATGTGCCATGTCCAGAGTGCACGTCAGTATACAATAAATAAGGCTAGAGCAGGTAAACATTGTAGTTCATAATAGTGGACCAGATGGCATAGATTTTTGTTCTTCCTCACCCAAAAAACACTGTGAGTGTCCCAAGTGAACAGATCTGTTCTGACATGCTTATTTATCATATTCACTGAGAAAAGTTCAGTGTTGTTAAAATACTTTGCTTACAATGGCTTCTCAGCAGATTTGTTTCATGCACCTGCTACCCGTGATTAGTATGCACAACCCTTATTTGTTAAGGCAAGGAGTCACCACCCTCAGTTGTATCGGTTAGAGACATCTTCCAGATGTGCCTCGCCACTGGGGACAAACACAACACACACAATTTACCTGACACCTCTTCATCGTGAGCTTTCAGAGTAAACAGTGGCTTATCAGAACGAGCATCCAGACAGTACACAAAGCCATCCTCCGTGCTTGCCTAAGGAAACCACAACATTTTAAAAACAAACAGCTGTAATTCATTTGGAGAAGAGCTCCTATGAAATGATATCCACCTTCTATTAAATCCCTGTGATCTGAGGCAGACTCCCACTACTGCTCGGTAGGGCACATTACACAGCGTACACAGCTCTTCGTCCCCAAAGTCAGGTTCCATCCAGCTGGCACCTGAGCTGTTTCTACACACACGAACTACGCTGCAGGGACTTACAGAGAAGTCTTAATCCTTAATTTCTTAAAGGATTTCTTAAATATCTTACAAATTTCTTAAACTGTATTTTGAAGATAAAGCTTGGCTTTCTCATTAAGCAATGAAATACAGAGCCTTGAGTCTCTCAACTGTCAGTTCAAAGTTTTTGGAGCCATCCTGTGGCTGCATAATAGCCCTGTGCAAAGTTAGGAGTGATTATACTGAGAGAGATCTACATCATACAGCAAACAGAACTGAACAACTGCTTTTGTTGGCTGTATACACAAAGCAACAGAGAACTAGACAGCCAATGAGATAATAAAAAAGATTTGTTCTTAAATTCTGTTTAAAAGTTTTATTGTAAAAATCTCAACAAAACCAAGGTATTTTTACTCTGTATCAGCTAGAAGGACAGTGCCCTCTAGCGCCGATTTGAAACACTGAATTAATATACAGGATTTTAGTTCTAATTGGATACTTCTCAGCTGCAATTGCCTCATTACATGAAACAGAACAGCAACTAAGCAATGAAAATATATCTCAGCCACTGAAGACTATGATAACGTGGCAAAAAAGCCACCTCTGGCATGAAAATGCATCAGTGTCAATTGCTTTTCTACTGTCATAATGAAGATACTACCAAATAAGTAGCTGGTCTCAATATACTTTTTGAAAAAACTACCTAAAACCATCCTCCCGCACAGTGCATTTTTGAAATAAGCAATGCCAACAGTCCAGCTATCAATCAGGTCTAATATAAGATTCAGAAACATTATGACCACCAAGTACAGGTTAAATGAAAAGGCCATAGTCAACAGACCAAGAACAGAAGAGCATGTACTCACTAAGAAATTACAAGGTGAAAAATGATTCCAGGTTACTCTTTCAACCTCACCACTAAACCGCCATATTCGATGGTTATCTTGTGGGTTTCTGCAATCATACAGCACAGCTGATCTATGGGAAAAGGGAAAGGATATCAAGAAAAAAGATAAAATCATGGCAGAATACTTAATGAAGTTTGTTTTACCACTGGCATTTACAGAAGGTCCATGCAAACTACAATTCAAAAATTAAAATGGAAACAACTTCACTATTTAGTCTTCCAACTCAATAACAGATGAAAATTTCTCAGATAAGCACAAGCTTTTTCCATACACTTCGAAGTTTCATCTTGCTTACAAACAGCCGTTCCATTTAACCAACCAGAGCTTGAATTTGCTCAATAGATAAGACATTTATCATACAGGAGACTGTAGCTATGCAAATATATAACTTAATTATGAACAGACTTCGGTAAAGTCCAGTAATGACCGTTCAAAACGATACACTGACTAGGAAATCAATTTGCAACACATATACAAACATCTTCAAATATGCTTTAATTTAAAAAAAAAAATATATAAATCTTTAGAGTTGGCTAGGGAAATGTTACTCCAAAAGGGCAGACGGGAGTTAGTGGGTCCTTTGAGATTCTTTACAGGCTTGTGCTCAGCCCAGTGGCAGCAGAATCTGTCCCAACTGAAAAAGCTCCTGGATGCAAATGCAAGAAAGGAGTGATGATGTCACTCTCACAACATCTCACCACAATTTATATCCACAGTGTAACCCCCTCCCACTCTATCCTATAATTAAAGCCAAAGAAATGTGATCTAGATTTCTCAGGTCTTTTACCAGGCATTTTACAACAGTTTTAGTACATATGCAATTTTTAATGGTCTGACTTTCAGGTTATGAAGGCATCTGCCAATATTCATGGAAGAGCCTGCGGTCCTGGGAAGCTTTACAGGAAAAATCCAAAAGCAGCCTACTAGTTTATAGACAGTACACTGGTTTATAGGTGTCCCTGGGATCAAAGGGCTAGCCAAAAAGGGACCAAGAAGCTGGACTCCGTGTTTGGACTTTTTTGTTGCTTTTACAGAAGGAAGTCAAGGGGGAGGAAAGTGGACAGAAGCAGGTTCCTAACAACAATAAAAGGTTTTACTCTCACACTTTTACTTAAGCAGATGTAGCAAGAGCATAATGCAAGCCAGAGAACTTAAAGGCTTGGCTGAGGATTGACAAGTCTTTAAATACTTTAACACAAGGACAAAGTCTTAAAAGCAGAACAAAAAAGCTGATACAAAAAAAAAAAAATCATGGTTGCAGAACAAAATTTAAAAGTTACCCCTAGGAGATGGGAGAACAGAGGGGAAGTTTTTTGGCTGGCAGGGCTTATAAGAACTGGCAGATACAGAGCTAGTCCAAGTGTTCAGACACAAACTATTTCACAGCATCTCCAAGCTGCCATCACAGGAGACAGCCTGTTACATTTTGGCTATGGCATGCCTATCAACAGAGGCTGTAGGGAGTAGACTGGGATTTTCAAGTTCCTCACGCCCCCACTGTGGTCTTACAGTTTGTCAAAACTTTGACAAGTTTCCACAGGAAGGACCAGTGACACATTCCCAATGCAGAAAATGCCCTAAAACCAAATTAAGAAATAAATTCAGTTTGGAGCAGACACCTAGCACAGAAAATGTCAGGCCAGATGGCTAAAGGATTTGGCTAGTCCTGAGAAAGAGGTAAGGAAAACTACATCTCAGCCACATACAAACCTGGGTACCTTACTGGAAAAAATAATACGTTACTCAAACTGGGCACAATTATAGGCAAATGAAAAGGAAAACATGAGGCAACTTAATGGGCTTAATCAATCAATCATAGAATCATAGAATGGTTTGGA